GAATACTTGCCCAATATGTTTTTAAATATATACATTACTAGATTAAATAATATACTAGTACATTAATAGATTATAGGCAATGTTTTAATAATTTAATTTTAAATAAATGGAGGAGGTACATGGAACACACTGTGAAATCTAAACAAAATATCTCATTACTGGGCTGGGCGACTGGTTATACCATGGTCGGATAGAATGTAATCCATTGAAAATGAAAGGCACTTTTAATCATGCCTCATCAGTCAATAGGTACACGAACGATCTTCATCATTACCATATGGACAACAGCGTCTACAAGTCTAGGTAACGATGACAGTAGCCATCCCATGGTAAATCCACTCCGCCCCCATTAAATACGACTGTCGGCCTACATTTTATGTAATTAACATCTGATCTAATATATTACGTACCTAGGCCTATGTGGTTGGCTATGGATAGCCAAGTGAAAAGTATGAAATGCAAAAAAAATTCATATGTAAAGGAAAATCATCCTAGAGCAATGCTGAAAAACTACCGTCTCAACAGAACAAAAATTCCATGTGGGACCTTGCTATCATGTATCTAAGGCCCTATAAAAAATATTATTTGTTTATCACCCTATCTGGGCAGGAAAAGTGATGAGGGAGGGAGGCTTTTTTTTTTTTTTTATTTTGCTAAAGCCAAATATAACCCTTGGTTTGTTTGCTGGTGCATTGATATTCAAAGTAAAACATGATTTAGATAATGCAAACAATATCTACTAACTATTTAATAAAATAAATGAAAAAAATAAATAAAAAAAATAAAAATTTTCAAATTTTTTTTTTTTTCCCAAAACAATTTTTTTTTCCAGTACCATAAAAGGCATGTGCGCGAGGGTGATAAACTAATAATTTTTTTTATTGGGCCTAACGGCAACGTCCTCGTCATCAACCACACCGCGGCAACACGAAATGTGCTGTACATACACTCATTGCTACTGACTGATTTGAATGTGTGGTTTAATACACATAAAAGCAACTTGTAGCCTACATTTATTTCCTATGAGAAATAGTTTTTACTTCTCATTTTTTTTTTATTCTCCTTTTGTGTAAAACTAAAATTTATGCCACTATTTTGTCATAGTTTAATAATTAGAGTAATGCAGAAAATTTTTTCTGAAAAAGGTTTTTAGTGAAATTTTGCCAGGAATGGAGCAAATAAGAAATTAAAAATATGTATAAGAATAAACAGTAACATTTAGCATCAAACAATATTTAGTCATAGATAAAAAAAAAAAAGCAAAAAGCAAAAACAGGAAAAAATGATATAACAAGTCACAATGATAAAAGAAATTAATCAAATACAAAAGTTGTTTGAAAAAATATCAGATAATAATTAAACACAATGAATAAGAGATAATTACATAAAGGACAACAAAATAATAAACTTGTTTAATGTAGCAGGTAACAGCTAACAAATAATTAATATTTAATTTTATTTACTTAATTAAAACAGACAAATAAATAAATAAAAATAATATAAAAGTGATAGACATATACAACAAACAATAATCTAAACTATATACTATGTAAAATAAAAGGATGATAGTATTTTATAGAAAAGGCATTGTCTTTTTTTGTGAATTTTGTTTTTTGGACCCAGTCCACATTTTGTTGAATCCTTCCTATCACTGTTGTTTCCCTTTTTCCTCCTTTGTTGAGCTTGTTTTTTGCTTTTTGTCCATTTTATTGTACCATTGAGAAAAAATAAATTTAATGAAATAAACAATGGATGTATAAGATTCTTTATAAGTCTGTACTTTTGAGAATTTACTCATCTTACTGTATGTAACACAATGACGTACATTAATAGCCGCTCTCAGTCATAAGCTTAGACAGCAAGCCGTCCGGCCGTCTTTTGGACGGCTTACATTTATTTATGATGGCCACTTTTACCAAGACGACTTGAACGGCTTGGCCTAATCAGCTTGGCCTAGCCTAATTGGGCCTGGTCTACCTTTAGCAAATTCTTTATATTCTTCAAATCTAATCAATGTTACATTAAACTAAGGCTAAATCATATTTAAGTTTGATAAAAACAACATTTATTATTATTGAATTTATATTGTTTTTGTACCAATAATTGGTGGGCGTGGCTCGTCCATCGGCTCAGTGCCACGCCCACTGGCTTCCATTTTGGACGGCCTATTTTGTTTTTCTGGCTAAACCCCTGCTCTCAGTATACTAGAAATAAATCAAACAACACCTGATAAAGGAGAATTGGAAAATTGAACAAGTCAAGAGAATATCTTATACATATAGGGTACCACAAGAACTATGTTAAAAACCAATTTTCTGAATTTGCCTTGATATTTTCTTTATTTGCAGTCACATATAAGTTGATATAGTTTCCTTTTAAGAGCCTGTCAATATTTTTGAGAATTTGATTACAATTTTAGACGTTGATTTCTTTTTATACTGAATGTGCCATCATACTAGAATAGAATTAAATAATGCAGTGTAGATACTATTTCTTTACATTGCTCCCTAATTCAACTTGTTTAATTGTGCTCTAATATTTTAAATAATTTTAATGTTCTGTCTAGGAACCAGAATGTATTACTATAGCTTGCAATAAGTGTATTTTTAAACTTCTGAACTATAGTGTATAGAAGGCATTAATAAAAAAAAATTAAAAATTTGCAATACCAAATAGCAGAGCTGCCAATACTTACCATACTCATCTAAGTCTTGCAAAACTTTATCAACAAAGTGTTCTTCACTGGCATTGATGACAGTAAATGATGCAAACACAGGAGGTACAACAGAATCTTCTGAAATTTTGATTGGAATTATCTTGGCATCATCAAGTGCTTTTGCTTCAAGCATTTGAACAACAACACTGTGTGCAGCATACTTAGAATATTCAGTCAATGGTTTTGGTGAAAATGCAGTGATTAGTTTCCTGCTTTTTGCTATTAAATCATTGATAGTTTCAGGTTTGCACAACCTCCAATGTTTGAGGATACTAAACATGAAATCTGGTCTTCTTTGTGTTAGTTCCACCACCATCTGACTTTCCCATTCAATGTCATCACTTATTATGCCATAGAAGGAATCATATTGAACTACAAAAAGAAAGAAAGAAACCTGATTGTCCATTTTAATGTATTTACATTGTACTTTTATTACTTATATTCAGTATCACTATTGTATTTAACAATTTAATTCTTTATAATATATGTATTTTTTAACCTGCCAATTTTTAATGTTCTCCTGTTTTAATGTTTATTTTAATTGCTCTGTAAAATTTTGAACGTAAATGTACTGTAATTTGTAAATCTCTTGTAATTCAGCTTTTGGCTGCTAGTGGAAGATCAATAAAGAATAAAAAATAAATTATAAAAATGTTATATTGGATTATGCTATTGCTTTCAAGTGTTCATAGGGTAAAGCCCTCAAGCAAGGTTAAAAAATAACCTACTGTTTTGTAAATGAAAATAGTTTGCAGGTAAATCATTATGGTACTCATGCCAAGTTGCACTGACAATGTGAAGTGGTTGGTTTTTAATTTTAGAAACAAAATGCAACAATTAATTGACTATGATCATGCTGGCCTCTATTTATACAGTGAAAATGTAAAAATATGAAATGTGTATGTTCATTTCTACTTGTTGAATATTAACCATCAACTTTTAACATCAAATACCATTGAAATATCTTATTTACTTTATTGATGACATTCATCATATATTTACTCACCTCTTTCCTTTAGCCTCATAAGGGCAGATTCGTATTCTTCTTTATCAACTACTGTCTTCCATTCTTTAATAAAATCCTCTCGAAGATCGTCTGGGACTATTAATTTTGCTAAATCTTTTATTAGTTCTCTGCTTGAATGTATTTCCCATAAATTCATCAATGCATATGGATCATAAACAGAAAGATGAAAAACTATAGATCCCTTTGATATATCATCAATGTGCAAATTTATGTTTTTTAGATACATATAAATACTTTTCAACTTTGTGGAAAATTCTGGAATGTCACCTGATGGCAAACTTTCAATATTTCTTAAGAGATCATCAATCATATCAAGGTGTGGTTTTTGTCCCGGTTCATCTATTCTTCGACGTTTTAATCCTAAATGGAAAGCTATGAACAGAAAAGAAAATTATGTTCAATATGGTGTATAGCAGCTCAACTTCAAAAGCTGGCTCATCTTTTACAGTCTCTGAGTGTTGACGTAATAAACCCGGTGATACATGCTGAGCACTAAGCGCTTAACAGCTACCCACAGAATGGCCTGAAGCTTGCTTGTAAAGTCAAGGTATTGGTATTTCATACCTAGCACAAACTGTCAATTTTCTCCCATATAAATTCTAAATTTTAAATTTCCACACACTAAATATGCATCATAAATTAACATGCCTGCTTATGAAAACCACCTTTTCAAACATGTTTTTGGTCACAAACATGCATCACTGATGTCTAGTTGAATGACCCTCCTAGAGTTTCACACATTCAAATCTAACCCTTATTAAAATGCTCTGGTTTTTATAATGTCATTTCTTACTCATTACAACAAAGACATATTATTTGAAGCTATGAACATTGAATTAGCTAAGGTTTCAGATTGGTTTAAGTTAAACAAGTTATCATCATACATTGATGAAAATAAAATTATTGAGTTAGTGAAACCATTTTCAACTACAGTAAAACTGTCTCATTGTAATCAATATTTACATACCATTTTATCAGTTAACTTTTTAATGATAAAATACATATTTAAAAAATAACAACAATGAAAAATCATGTATTACCTTCACCAAATCTATTCCCTGAGTTTGAAGATGTATTTGGAATGTCTGTAAATGAAAGTCAACTGAAATTAAAATATCAAATATTCTTGAAAATTAAACATGAAAGAAGACTTGAGGCCTGTGTTGATTCCAGTGAGAGGCAGAGAGGGGGAATAGGCTCTGACTGTACAATTATTAGTATGAATTTCTGACACAGAGAAAGCATGAATGGTTCAAATGCTTATATACTTTAACAAGTCTAAAAAAACTAAAGAAATGAAGAGTAACCCAGAGTTTCAGGGTGTTGGTTTCAATATGGAGGTATTATTGAGATGGAGATCACTTGAAAAGCTCCACGTATGCAGCTTGAGCCAAGAACAAAGCTGCCGCAGAGCATAAAGAACGTATGCGCGATGCCTTTGAAGTGTAATGTGTTCCCTGCCACCAATGCTGCAGCAGGCTTAGTTTACCAAAAAATTAAACATGGCAAAATGAAGAGCACCTTTTTCTCAATTTGCACCACTTGCAGTCAATCACTATGGCTGCGCAATCATTTCAATCTTGAAGTTAATACATTTATCTTTCAAGAAATACCAAACATATTAATATTGTCGACAAATAAAAAGTTCCAAATTAAAAGAAACATTTACATGAGCTTTAAAATTATAGTTTAGTTCAACATGGATTTCTATAAATTAGATCGTCGCCGTTGTCATAGCTGTACTCTTATCAGAGCATAGCTTCTCTCACAGCAACATTGTACAAATTTCTATTCTTTGCAAACCTTGTTGCCTTCTCGATCGAATTCAATAATTTTAATTTCAACAGATATTAATTAAGGAATGATTGAGGATTATAATAAACTAATTCATTTTAGGGTTAACTATTCGAAAATTCAATGCAAAGTCTGAGTAATATTCAGTTTTACGCTGCCATATATAGCTGAACAAATTGATCTTTAGACAAAATTATAATGAACACAAAAGAGATTGTAAGATTTTGCAGAATCTGTTCCAGAAACATACACATAATAACATGATGAAAGTTCAAAAAAAAAAAAAAAAAAAAACAATCTGGGGAACATTGTTAATTTGAAAGATATTTAATGAGTTAAATGAAACAAAACAGAGGGCGACATGTTGAAGCATTAACACGTCTGAAATTTTGCTCCGCAAATATCCTTCAAAATCATAGTCAACCATTGCCATCCGTGTTGTTTTCTGCCTTCAAGTAAAACATCCGCTTTAGCTGAAGACTATTGCATTGATATTCTGCATACTTCGCCAATATCTTTATAAATATGCCGACGACAAGGCTAGGCCGCCAACAAGAGCCAACTGAGAATTCCAAGCACGAAATTGCCGCCATGCTGAGAGAGTCACTTGGTACCTGCCCGGCAACTACTTATGAGTACTGACTTAAACTACAAAACAAGCTTGATCGTGTTCTCGTAAATCAAGACTCAATTTTGAGTAGAGTTTCAACAGTTGAGTCCAGACTGGATAAATTTGAATCTGATAAAGGTGAGCTAATCAAATCTATATTATATGCTCAAGAAACGGCTGACGATAACAAAATAAAAATCACAGCCATGGCAAACACTATGACCAAACATGCTAAAGAGATTGACCGCCTTAGCCTAGAATGCATTAAAAATGAACGTTACTCCCGAAGCTTCAACCTACGCTTTGGTGGTCACACTGAGCAGAAAGATGAAGATTCAATTAAGTTAATCACCAACTTTATTAAACTAAAACTGGATCTTAATGTGGTTATTGAAAATGCACATCGTATTGGAACCCTTAACAAAGATAGAAATCGTCTCATCATAGCAAAATTTCTATATAGACCTGAGAGATTCAATGTTCTAAAAAAGGCCAGGCAATTGCTCAAAGGGTCCAAATTCTACGTTAAGGAAGACCTTCCTTTATGTGATGCTCGCAAAAAGAAAAGTCTCAGCAATGTGATGAAAGCTGCTTACAACGAAGGAAAGAAACCTATCTGCAAAAATGGAAACCTTTACATTAATGGTGAACTTTATGTTGACAATTAACCAACTAGACATTGGATGATTAAATCACAGCATAACTTGCTTATGTGACTGAAGTAAAAATTTATTATAAGGACTGAATCTTAACTTTTGCTTTATGCATTTAATATCTAAAGGAAGGTTGTTTTTGCGAAGCAAATTTATTTAGATTATTGCATGTTATCTTCTCCGTCCGTTACAATAAATGATGGCTATATCTGTTTTTAAAGTACAGTATGTGTTGTCTTGTCTTTTTTTTACTTTTGTGATGTACTAAATTCACTACATCATGCATTTATTTACTTTGTACATTTGTTTCTCCTTTTAATAATTTTTATTATTTATACCTTTGTTTGTTCTTATTTATTAATTTTAGGCAGATTCTCTTGTATTTTTCAATCAATCTTGATATCAGTTAACAATGGTATGTAGTTTGTGTTTGAAACACTTAAAAACTGATTACATTAAATGTATTGCTTGTGAATCCGTGGCACACATTTCATGTGCCCCGTCCAAAGAATGGATCTGTTTTTCCTGTGTAGATGTGATTTTTTCTGTTAACAACATAATTGATGATAGTGAATTTGAACATGAAATAAATTTCTTCTTCCTTGATCACAAACTTAATTGCAACAAATTAAATTCTCTTAAGTTTAATCCATTTGATCTAAAATTAAACGGCCTAATATGTGATGAAGACGAGGCCATTGCGGACAATGTCAGATGCGATTACGAACTCATTGATAGCATTAATTTAAATTTTGCTAATATTAATTCTTCATTTAGCATTTTTCATCTAAATTTATGTAGTCTTGTTAAACATTTTTCTGAAATTACTGAGTTTGTTAGTGCTTTGTTTCACTGAAACTTTTTTTAACATTTTAAAAACAAATTTCTCTTTTTACAAAATTGATGGTTACAACTTACTTCACTTTTCAAGAACAGAAAGATCTGGAGGTGGCGTTGCTGTATACCTTGACCAGAGATTACAATACTCTCATAGATATGACCTCATTTCTATTATCTCTCAAAATTCTGAATCTATTTTTATAGAAATTGATGCAAAACCAAAAAATATAATTTTAGGTGTTATTTATCGTTTACAGGAATTACCAATCAGCCTTTTTAATTCTAAAATTTCCCAATTACTTGTAACCATTAATAATGAAAATAAAGCTGTATACATCTGTGGCGATTTTAGCATTGACCTTCTGAAGTCTAACTTGCATGAAAAAACCTCTGAATTTATTAGTACTATGTTTGAAAATTCATTCTATCCTTTAGTTAGCAGACCAACCAGAGTAACGACTAAAAGTACAACTTTAATTGACAATATCTTCTGTAATAATATACATGACACTATCTCTCCTGGAATCTTTTATTCTGACATTTCAGATAATTTTCCAATATTCTCATTAACACACCAATTTCCATCTTACTTTCCGCACAATCTTAACTCTAAATATGTCTACTTCCCTAAAATCAATTAAAAATCAATATCTTTACTTTTTCATGACTTAAGCATTGTTGATTGGTCCGAAGTACTTAATATTGATAATGATCCTAACCTTGCTTATAACGAATTTAGTAAATTATTCACCAATTCTTATAACACTCATATTATAACCACACGTCGTAAATGTAATATTCGGAAACTCAAAAAAACCATGGATTACCAGGGGAATTATAAAGTCAATTGACAAAAGAAATAAACTCTACAAAAAATACCTAAAAACTTGTAAAAATAATGACAGAGTCAACTATGTAAAATATAGGAATAGGTTAACCTCTTTAATTGCAATCTCAAAAAGAAAATATTTCAGCAACAGATTTGATTTGTTTAAAACCAATATTAAAAAAACATGGGAAACCATAAACCATGTCTTAGGCAATAGCAAAACAAATACAATTCCTTCTTTTTTCATGCATAACGATATTAAATTAACTAACCCTAATATCATTTCAAATAAATTTAACGATTACTTTACAAATATTGGACCAAAACTTGCCAACTCCATTAAAAAGTCCTTGTAACATTAATTATACGAAATTTCTCCCACCTCCTGTTAAAAATTCTTTCTTTTTTAATCCAATTTCCGAAAGTGAAATAACTGATTACATCAAATGTTTAAAAGATAACAAAAGCCCTGGTTTTGACAACTTTTCAAATAAAGTCATTAAGCGAGTTTCAAATTTAATTTCCAAGCCATTGTGCCATATTTTTAATATTTCTTTTCAAAATGGCATGTTTCCCGACTCATTAAAAATTGCAAAAGTTGTACCAATATTAAAGAAAGACGATCCTCACTACTTTATTAATTATCGCCCAATATCTTTACAACCATGTTTTTCTAAAGTGTTTGAACACCTCATTTACAATAGACCTTATGATTTCTTTACAAAACACAATGTGTTTTTTAACAAACAATATGGTTTCAGAAAGGGATTATCCACTGACTAGCCTTACTTGACATGTATGAAAGCATAATGTATTCCCTCCAAAATAACAAATTCTCCATAGGTATTTTCCTTGATCTCACCAAGGCCTTTGACACCATTAACCATTCTATTCTTTTAAGCAACTTAAGTACTTATGGTATCAGGGGCCTTCCTCTTAAACTTCTTTCTCGTTATTTAAATAATCGACAACAATCTACAACTTTAACTCTGTCAACTCCAAAATGAATCAAGTGTTTTGTGGTGTTCCACAAGGCTCTATCCTTGGACCTCTTTTATTCTTGATATATGATCTTCACAATTCTTCCAATACTTTAAATTTTATTCTTTTTGCTGACGATACTAACATATTTTATTCACACAGTAATATTAATTATTTATTTCTCAAACACAAAAATGATATCAAGTCTACTTGGAATACTATAAATCTGCTGATAAAAAAAACAAACCCCAGTAACCAAACAAATCCCTATTTCAATTGTAACGGTGAACATACTAACGATCCCACAACAATTGCATCTGCATTTAATGACTACTTCGTTGAAATCGGACCCTCTTTAGCTAACAAAATTCCCCAAGTTAACAAATCCTTTAAGGAATTCTTACCCAACCCTACACCTAATTCTATTATTCTTACCCCTGTTAATGAATCTGAAGTGGCCTGTATATTAAACTCATTTAAAGTTAATAAATCACCTGGTATTGATAATTTCCATACCAAAGTCATCAGATATGTTGCCAACTTCATCTGTCAACCCCTATGTCATATTTTTAACCTCTCGATTTCCAAGGGGGTCTTTCCTAACAGAATGAAGCTAGCCCGTGTTACACCGATTTTAAATCTGGATCCAAATCTGACCTTTCAAATTATCGCCCAATCTCAATCTTATCAGTCTTCTCAAAAGCCCTTGAAAAAATAATCTATGATAAAACACTCAAATTTATTACTAAATTTAATATACTTTATGACAGACAATTTGGGTTCAGAAAAGGCTACAATACATCCATTGCCCTTACTGACCTCTCCAATAA